GCCTGGTGTGCATGGTGTGCGGCGGCGCGCTGGCCACGCTCAAGGTCAGCACCATCAAGCGCCACATCCTGCAGGTGCACCCCTTTTCCATGGACTTCACGCCCGAGGAGCGCCAGACCATCCTGGAGGCCTATGAGGAGGCGGCGCTGCGCTGCTACGGCCACGAGGGCTTCGGGCCGCCAGCCCCGGCGCCGCGCGACGGCGGCGCGGACCTCAAGGCGGGCGCCGTGTGTCGGGCGTAACTGGCGTAGCGGACTTGCAGGCCAGGCGGGGGCGGCCCTTGGCTTGGGAGAGCGCCGCCGCTGCCCCCCGCTGGCCGGGCCGGGCGGAGATTGAGGATCGGTGGGGTGCCATGGAGCTCCCGGGTTGGTCGGACTTCGGGGCCCTGGCCCTCCACGCGCAGGGCCCCACGTGTCCCGGGGAGCCACAGCGGTCTCCAAGCGTCTGTACCGAGCGCTTCCAGCTCCAGCCAGCGTCCGGCCCCGCTCGGCCAGGCGATCCTGTGCCTGACTGGGATGGGAGCGCCGACAGTCAGTATTAGGACCCCAAGGCCAGGTGGCGGGAAGGCCCCTTCCCTGGCCTGGGGCCCAGCGCGGCAGTGTTGCACGCCGGCAGGCAAGGTGCCCGGGGAGGGCCGGCTGCCTTGGCTTTCGGTGTTCTCGGCCGCTCGGAGGCCTGGACTGCAGACGCGGGCCTGCCCGGGAGGCGGGGCCCAGGAGCGTGTCCGGCCTGGGAGGCGCGTGGGACCGCGGGCTAGCGGTGGCTCGGAAGCGGGGCGGAGCTGGGCCGGGCCCGCTGGCTGCGCCCTTCTCCCGGACAGGCTCCGTGGGGACAGCACGCTGGCGGCCACACCTGCCTCCCGGAGCTCGCCGTACCGAGATCTTGTAAAGGGATTAGCACTTTCTCCTTTGCGCCTCTCCTGCTACGGAGGCCTCCGTTCACCCCTCCGCTCAGACGCTGCTGCTTCATTGAAGCGCCTCCGAGGGTCCGAACCCGGGGCACTGGAGGTCCCGGCAGTTGGCAGTATAGTCCCGTTCCTTCCCTGTCCCCCTTTGTACGCGGTGGACGCGCCACCCGTTTTCAGTCCCCAGGGCCTGGGGCCGGGCCTCGGCCTTTTCTGTTCCCTGCGGTAGTGCCAGGTCCTGTGGGGCCGGGAACGGGCCCCGCGATCTCCCAGGCAGGTCCGAGAGGGATGTGTAGATTCATTCTCCTGTGGAGAACAGGTGGCCCCCGAGATCAGGCCCTTTTTGCTCTTTGTATTTTATTTTGAAACTGTATTTAATGCTTTTATATGAAAGGGGAGGGGCGGGGAGAGAGCTGTCCCAGTCACCCTTAATGTGCAAATGTCTTATTTATTATGCGTGTATCAGAGATAAGCTGTGAGGTGGTGGAGGAAGTACTTAAAGGAAGAAAGGGCGAGGACAGGGGATGAGAGGATCCCAAACAGCCCGTGCTGTGATTCTCCAGGCCCCCTTGTTTGCTCTTCACGTAGCCAGGCCAGTTCCTTGGGTCTTGAGGCCCGAGATGGGGGAGGTCAGCAGGTCGGACTTGACGGCTGGGCCTGGAGGTGGAGGGGCCCTGGCACCTGGGGCAGGGCCTTGCTTCTGTGGGTGGGAAAGCAGACAGCAAAGAGGAAGCCCTTCCTCTCATCCCAGCCCCCCGCAGGTCAGAGCCCAAGGTTCAAGTGCCTCAGGCCCAGTCCCCTTGACTCTTCCTGATTTGGGAATTGGATTTTATACCACGGATTTTTTAGCATTTTTATATAATTCAAGATTGTCAGAGTTGGAACGACCTTGGAGATCAACTAGTATCTGCCCCCACCCCTTCCACAGATAGGTAAAATGAAGCCCAGAGACGGAAATTATCACACAAGCCAGCTAGAACAGTACAGAAAGGAGAATAAAAAAAAACAAACTTCCAGTTCGGTTTCTTTGCACTACACGACACTGCCTCCCAATGTCTGGTAAGTTATAAAAAGTTTTCATTGGGCCCAGGGGGCACGTGCTGGGTGCTGTGGGCCATCACAGTGCAGTTAGCTGCCATCGGGGGATGGCAAAGAGCCGCACACTGCCCTGGGACGAGTCCTCTACCAGGCACGTCCTGTTGCCGCTGTAGGCTTCAGCTGGAAGGTGTGGGCAGCAGCTCCTGCATCAGAACTGAGTTGCCTGCCACCTGGCCCAAGGCCTCCCCGGTCCTCCCTGTGGGGCAAGGGCTCAGGCACTGTGTCTATTGATAATGGTGCCTCCAGGGAGTCAGGAAACGCTGAGTGGGCCCTCAGTTGACTGAAAAGTGAATAATAACCAGTGTGTTTGAACCTCCAGGGGTTGTGAGACAGTATTACAAGCTTGAGACCAAGGATTATGGATGGCACCGGGCTGGGCACTGCCATTCTTTTATTTTCCTTTACACAAGTTGTTTTCAAATCCAGAATGCGTATTCTACCACTTTTGCTACTCTGCCTGTTCAAAACCAGTAGGCACAGTGGGGCACCCTGTCAGTCACCCAAGCCCACTGCCGAAGTTCAGGTAAGCCAGGGCAGAGAGCTGGTTAGGAAGGGTATTTCCTGGACAGGAAGGGACAGGCCTTAGGACAGGAGTGGATGGCTTCACGACACTCCAGCGGTTCTCAAAGCCACCAGTATATTAGAAAATTAACAGAAATGGAAATTAATGGGCCCCACTTTACTGAATCAGAAACTGGGGCAGGGCCCAGCAATCCGTTTTGATAAGCCCTTCAATGGCAACGATCGAGGCAGTGCTGAGCCCCCGTGGCCCAGGAAGTGCCCCTGGAGTGAGTCCCACTTTGACTGGAGCTACGGCCTCACTGCTCAGGGGTCAGGAGGCCCTCATCTCTAGGTGTCCCTCCTTGCCCCCAGAGTGACATGAACAGGCGAAGTTTCTTCATGAATTTTTTGTTAATGGTATGCTTGCTATTATGGCCAATATGTAAATGTTACTCTGAATACATATTTATATACCATGTTAGTGACATTATTTGAACATTTGTATGCGTATTTGTGAAGTTTGCATCAGTTATTTTTTTAATTTCAGCCTAAGTTTTCTAAGAGGTATGTTGAATGAATTTTTAAAGTCCAGCTTAAGGGTCACGGCAGCCTTAGTTTTGGAGAAGAGCAAGTCCCAGGTGACAAGTTGTTTAAGCAAAGACCCGATGTGTTTCGTTTCCATTTTCCATGGCGACTGACTCAAATTTTTAAGTGCATTGTGGCCATGTGTGATTTAGAGGCTGCTTCTGTTGCAGGCGGGGACCCTCCTAGGTTGGGGTGAGACTGACCTGGGACAGCAGACCCCGCTGACCCCTTCCACTCCTCATCTTTCTCCTAAGTTCACCTCTGAGGGGCTCTTTCTTTCAGAAATCAAATGCACATCTTTGCTCTACTACGGAAATCCTGCAATCTTGGGCATCAGTACTGGTTATCAACTGTTAGTTGTTTTTTTTAAAGCCTCAAAAAGAGGAGTGGGGATGGGGGCGAGTGGAAGCCTTGTTTGGTTCTTACTTTACCCAAATTGTGTATAAAGAATAAAGTTAGCAGAATGACGCCACAGTCTTGTATTTTTTATTTTTTATTAATACCACATCAATTTGCAGTTTTACAGGAACCAAGATTCAAGCTCCTTAGGTGCTACTATATTTTTATGTTGCACGCACATACACGCACACAATTTCATTAGTAATTTTTCATCTATAGGTTTTTCTTAAAAAAAAAAAAAATTCCTGTGTGGCACAAAGATCTGTCCAATTGTCTAAACACAGCATAACAAAACCGAAGAGCTGGGCGTGGAGGCTTCCCGTGCGGAAAAAGGTCCTTTGGAGGGGAAGCCCCAAAAGGTGATGAGTGCACACCGACTTCCGGGGAGGGCAGAGGATGGGGATAGAGAATGCATTTTCTATACTACGACATGAAATCAGTTAAAAAATTCCAAAGGAAAGCAGGCCAAGAAAATAAGAGAATGGAGTAAGGCAAGGGTACCTTTTACCCATCTAAATTCCTAAGTAATTTTCCCAAGAAAGTACAATTTCCTTCTGCTACCTTCTACAGAGTTGCAGTGCTTCGGGACCGTCAAAGGTCATAGCCCTTAAAGTCACCAGTGCATATTCCCTCTGGATTCTCATGAGTTACAACCCGAAGGAACTCACGGATGGCTTTCAAGTTCACTGAATTTTTGTGTTGTAAGGGGAGGAAGACAACTGTCAATCTCAAAGGGGAATCCAAGATTCCCAGTCGCCTTCCACCTGATGTCAATGTGAGCTGTTCTGTTGTCTTTTTAATTGCATGCGGAGCCCATCAGCACCATCTGACCCTGCCTGGCTGCCCTGACCTCAAGCTTCCTGGACAACACTCTCAAAAGGAGCACCCTGGGCCACGGCAAAGGTGCTCAGATGTTTTATGTGCCTGAAAATGAAAGGAAACTTCAAAACATAACACATAACCCAGAAGCTAGCCTCAAAGTTAAAACTCCATGTGAACCACAAAATGTACTTCCCTACACTGATATGTGGTCTCAACTACAGACACACACCACCTCCTCCCAAGCCAGCTGGGCTGTGGTTCTCAGGGTTAAATGAGGAAGACAGGTTAAAGATGTAGCCGGTGGCCCTGGCCGGGTGGCTCAGTTAGTTGGAGCGTCCTCCTGTATACTAGAAGGCTGCGAGTTCAAACCCCGGCCAGGGCACCTACAGGAGGCAACTGATCAATGTTTCTCACATTGATATTTTTCTCTCCCTTCCTCTCTCTAAAATCAATAAACACATCCTTGGATGAGCATTAAAAGAAAGATGTAGCCTATGAAGGAGGAAGCTGTAGGGAAAAGATAAAAAGAAAATCAAAAGCCTTTGTGTTTCTGTAGTGCGCCTCTTGAGAATGTCTCCCCTCACCACACATGAACTGATAGGATCACAATAACTCAACAACTGAGGAGCCCACATGCAGGTAATTTTTTTTTCTCTAACAAGTTTACAGCAGTGTACAGCAGTTACAGACATTTATTCCATAATAAGAAAAGTACAACCACATTTATTAAACTTGAGGTGAGGTGGGTAGGAAGAGGGAGGAAAGCACATTCAGGAATGAGTTCTAAACTGAAGCTCAGAACTGATGTCCAAAATGACCCTGACACCGCGTTCCCGGAGGGCGGAGCCTTTCCTTCCCCAGGGCCAGGCCGCAGGGAGCAGTGCGCGGGCTGCGCTCCTGCTGACTCCCTTTGCAGGCCCCTTTCCGTTCCCTTTCTCGGCTACCAGATGGCATTCTGGGAACCAGGATATTACTATCACCTATAAGTTATTCATAGAATTGAAAGTTACATCTATAAGTGAAGAAGAGGAATATGAGGAGTAGCTGCTCACATTGTGGGGCAGGAAGATGGGATCTAGGGCTGCAAAAAACCACAAACCCACGGGATGGAATCCCACTCTTGTCCCCAGATAATTTCTTCTTAAGTTAACCATTATTTCTTAAATTAAACAGAGGGCAAAATTATGATGGGAAGCTATGTAAGAAAATTACATAGCTTTGAAAATTAAATAGAAGAACCCAAAAGATGTATTTTATTTTCCTTTTCTCCCTTTACCCTCCCATCTTTCCTCTTTCGAGCTACATGGAAAAGCTCTACCACCATTAAGGTATTGATTTATCCATTCAGCTGATTCTGTCTTTATTCTCCTGGGTTCTAACACATCAGTTCATTTTTTAGTCCAATAATTCTTGTGCTTGATACTGCAGGTAAAGGGAAAGGAGGGGGAAACACCAAATTGAAGAAAAAAAAAGCTTGGAATGCAGGCTCAAGCTGACACTGAGCACTTTCCTTCATAGTACAAGAAACAACATTATCACTATTAAATGGTGTTTTAGTAACTGTGGCATTTCTGGTTTCCATGTATTTATTCTGCCTTTTTCTTTGCAATTCCAGGTAGTTTTGCTTGAATCCTATTGAGGCAGAAAAGAAAAGGTAAAAGCAGACATTAATTCTAGGCTTTAACAGTGGTGCCAGAGGACAGGCCTGGGCTCGCGGGAGGGGTGTGTGGAACAGTCTCCCATGTCCAGCGGGCTTGCTCCGCATGAAGAGCCTGGCGCGGGGTAAGCTGAGGGCTCCACGGAGAGACCCAGTCCCTGCCTCTACCGCTGGGCCTGCTGCCTGCCTCCTTTCACTGCCAGAACCTCAAGGGTCCTTCACTGGGGGTTCCAGAGAAGAGTAAGGGGTACCGGGGCACAATGGCTGCTGACTGTGCTCTACACACTGGCAGTGGAAGAGTGCATTTCTCTGTAAACGCCAGGTCACCCAACTGGGGCCATAAAGGAACCAGGAGTCAAGGGTCAAGGAGACATATTTAAAAAACTAGAGGAGCTGGCAATAGTTCACAGCTCCCTGCAGAACACCAAAGCTGCCTTTCATTTTCTTTATTAAGGTTCATCATCATCAAGGTCATTCACACCCCTTAGCTAATGTAGAAGCTGGTTCCCACAAGTGTGACATCCCACAGCAGGTGGCGGAGTCAGCCAACACTGCTAATCAAGACATTAGGTTTAAAGCTATCCTTTGACCAACCACCTTTCTTTTCTTCTTCTTATTTTATTATTTTTTTAAATTTTAAAATCATGTTTATTCTATTACAGTGGTCTCTGACCAACCACCTTTCAAAATCAGGAGTGAACAGAAACTAGGTATATATTTTGTGCCAACTGTCCTTGTCTGGTTTTAGCTCCAATGTGTACCTAAAAAGACCAGGTAAAGATCCTGGATCAAGCCAGAGCTGTCTGAACATAGTCACAGTTTCCTCTTATTGAAACTGGAAAAAGCACTAAAATCTGGGGTGTGAAAGGGACCGACACAAATGGTGGATTTCACTGTGATGTTTTGTTTCTTAAAAAATGTATGTATGTATATAAAAGAAAAAGAAAAATGTTCGCATTTTAATTTGAAGTGTTGGGGCTCACAGTGTTTGCTACAAATAATTTGAAATAAAAAAAGTATTAATATTTTAAATATTAAATTGGTTTTAAAAAGGAAAAGAGATTTGATAATCTTAGGAAAAAGGTAGTGTTGACCCTGAAGGCATTTACTTACTAAAACTTTTATTTTTAAAAAGAGAGTGAAGAATTTGGCTTAAAATCGACACACACTGAAATAAAAGAGAGGGAGACAACTGCACACACTTAAAAGCCAGTTCACAAGGGCAGAGCGGTCCTGAGTCCATCCATTCTCTTTTTCCTTTTGTAAGTCCTAATGAAAGCATTCTATTTTAAAACTTTACATACATATTTAGTAGCATTTTTTCCCCATTGATTCTTTTTGGTCTAAGATACAAAGAATGTGTTTTTAAAGAAGCAGATGAAACAATTTCTTATAAAGTCAAACTATGAACCAAGGCTTTTTTCCCCCCAGGGTGAAAATTTGGCAGCATTTGACACAGGGGACTAAAACACTGGGAGAAAGAGCACACGTCACGAGGAAACGAGGAAGCTAAGCATACTTACTTTTCAACGATCGACTTGGTCTGATCACGGGCGATGCCAACATAGTGATCAATCTGGGTCTTTAAGGAAGGAAAGCGACTCAGTTGTGGCAGCATAGAAATTAACAACTTTCCTGAAGGTAATGTTCTTTGGTCTAGAGTGACTATTTTTTAAAAAGTACTATTGAATATTCTGGAAAATGAAAATAATGCCCAGTTTTTAAAAGTACTTTTTAAACTACAGGATTTCAGACTTCAAATTATGCCACAAAACACTCCATACTCAGTTGTGCTAAAAACCACTCATTTCTTTTGCAGAGGTAAATCTTACTTGCTGGGTGTTTCCTTTAGAGACACTGGACTTACAATAGCATTTTCTGAATACTAGATAATGTGTGTCTTGATCTATTTTCTGTAACCATAAAATGTGTTTTGGCTTCTGGGTAAGACTAATTCACTTAACACCAAAAAAACCATGAAGTCTATTGATGGATGACTTAATCCATAAAAAAATCACCTCATAGAATCTTGTATACTCTGCGTATACCATTCCACAATGCAAACATCTGTTCGCACTGATAATTACCAGACTAGCCCTGATACTTCCTTACTCGTTTCTTTTTATATGTGAGCTTTTATTTATTTCAACATTTTTTCAAATTATTATTTTCTGAACAGATAATGCAGCCATGTGAGAGAAATACAAAAGGCACACAACAAAGTGTAGAAGTAAGTCTTCCTACCCTTCTCTCTCCTAGACAGTGTCTCTGCTTAGAGGAAACCACTGCTACCGGTTTCTTATAGGCCCCTGACTTATAAAATGAGACTGCAGAAAGAGTTTGAAGAGACTGCTCTGACCTTCCCATACCTAAAAAATGAACTAAAACTAGTCATACACCAGCGGGCACATCTGATTTGAATCAGACCATTGCTCACCTTGTACTTCTCATAGACAATCGGGACACTGAAGACGAGCAGCTCAGCTGGAAGACAGAGTCATGGGACATGGCAAGTGTAAATGTGAGACAGTCACAAAGTCTCAGGACTCAAATTAACACATTTTTCTTCATGGAATACAGGAAAACAGAGATCTTCAATATGAAAAATTGTGGCTAGATCTCTCAATTAAGGACAGTTAGATACAGGCACATCGGCTACCACAGATAATTTCCAAACTATAAAAATGAATTCTACAAATAAGATCCCTATATTTAAATCAAATCTAGACAACCTTCCTTTACTTCTAGCTGTTTTGGTATTTCTTTAAAATTAGCACCATTTAATAAACGCGTGGTCACAAACACAGGTTCCTTCAATATCTAGCTCAAGGTCTCTAAGAATGTTAAAGACTGGGTCACGTGGAGGAGTGGAGCCACACTGGGCATCCTCCTGGCTCTAACTCTTACCAACCATGTCAAAGAGCAAGGAGGCATTTTCCTTGTCACTTACCAAGAATCAGAAGGGTGATTCCATTGAAAACGGCACCAACATAGGTCATCAGCCACATGAAGACAGCCAGCTGTGAAGGCCAACATCAGGGGGTTAAGCAGGAATAATTATAACACATAATTCAGGTTGACTGATGCCATTTTCCTCCAGCTAATTAAGTCTATATGAAGTTAGTGATGTATGCCATAAATAATTCCAAAATAAGGTTACCCCACTTGCGCTACACATTTGCGGGTGCTTAAGAGAATTCTGCAGTTCTCTCAGGCCCGAAGACAGACTGTAATTGCATTTCTGTCAATTACATTATCCTTGTTCTGACGTTAGTTCTCCAGGCACTGGGGACACCTTCTCCACTGGCTCCTATCCGCATTTTTACAGGTTGATGGAGACAGGCTTTTGTCTGATAAAATCCTACAACTTCACCCCTGGTTTTCCTCAGCCCACCACCAGCAACTGCAGCGGAACTAACCTTCAAGGAGTCAACCAGATCCTCTACCAGAAAGAGACGAATAATGAGTTTCAGGGCCTTGTTGACGTGCACCAAGGCAGCATTCACGTAATTATGGAAAGCTTCTGAGGACAAAGTGATGTCGACGTCCAGGTAGGCCCTTCCAGAAGAAGAAACAACAGTCACACATTTGGCATGGAAGGGGATGGCCGCTTTTTGTTAGCATAGCAGTTCTTTAGAGTGTGCAACTCCCCCACGAGTGCATTTTAGAAATCTCTAGGGATGTTTTTTGATGTCATGGGGTGGGTCAGAGGGACTGCTGTCCTTTAGTGGCAGAGGCAAAGATGTCAGATGTCCTACAAAGTGTGGGACAGTCCACAAGGTGTTTCCCCCCCCAGTTTTAACATACCCTGAATTTTCTAAAACTGTATTTTATTTATGCTAAACTTTATTAAAATTTTTTTCCTACCACTTTGGAAAATCACATCTGTACTGGAAATTATACACGTAGGTGTAAGTGCCTGATGTTTTATTATTATTATTTTTTGGTATCGTCATTTCCAAGCAGTTATATATAGACTGGAGTAAAGATTATTTTGTTATACAAGGCTATTTTATCATTCCGTTAATAGTACAATTATGATTTAAAAAATTTTTGTTTACAGATATATTATTTATGAATTTCATTGTAAAATGATAAAGGAGACACAAAATATTTGTTTAGAAAAAACAAGAAGGAGGGAAGCTATTGAGTTTGACAAAACTGAAAGCTAGAGAAAAAGAATGACCTGGGTTTGTCCCCAGAGGCGCCACTGCATTGAGATGGAACCATGTGCTTATAGCTGTTCATTCACTCAGTGCCGCCTGAGCGCCTACTGAGTACCGTGGGGCGAGGTGCGGAGGCTATCAGGAAAGATAAGACTGCTTTGCCTTAGAGAGCCTACAGTCTTGTGGGAAAAACAGAGGAACAGCCATGTTTTTCTTTCTTATTTATTAAGAAAATATTTACTACCAAATACAAAAGTTATAAAAATTAGTTGTAATTAATAGAACTTAGCACACACATTTTACCTATTCACAACAGGGTCATGCAAAAGGGAAAAAAATTCTAAGACATCTGAACTTGTGGCAAAATAGCAAATTTATTCACTCATTCATTTAACAACTATTGATTTCTTAAAGCTAATTTGCAGTAACTTTTCAAATGCCACATTTAGTTTAAATTATTATTTCTACTTTCGTCAAGAGAAAATGCAAGGACCAGAGCCACAGCCAGACACCTATTCTGTTAGTCCTGAGAGGTCGCAACAGGTTCTTTCTCTATGAGAAAAGAGTTTTTAAAAAACTGTCATTTGCACCCAGGCTGGCGGGCCTTAGAGGACTGAACACTGGGCATGTAGACTTAAAGCTTGCTGGTTTGATTCCTGATCAGGGCACATGTCGGGGTCGTGGGCCAGGCCCTCAGCTGGGGGTGTCTGAGAGGCAACCGAATGACTTTTCTCTCCCTCCTGCCCCCTCTCTCTAAACATTAATTATTTTTTAAAATGAAATCTTAAAAAAAACAAACAAACAACAAACCCAAAAAACCCCTGTCATTTGCTAGTGTTAAAACTTTTTATGGCCTAAAATTCTCAACAGGAAGTATAAGGAATATAGTTGTTAAATTATAGCGCAATCAGAAAAAGCTAGCAACTGGATTCCAGAAATGCATGACATACATTCATCAAGATGTGCCCCTGGTATTAAGAAAACTAAAGGAGAGATCAGAAGGAAATCAGTAATAAAACTAAGGCTAAACACATCTGAGTTCTGATGATCACCAAGAGGGCAGCCTCAATACCAAGACTTCAGAGCCGCTTTAAGACTGCACGACGTGGCGGCTTAAACACGCGCCTGGGCCCCCATCTAACTGGGCGCTGTCCTAGATGGCGTGTCCCCTCTCTTGCTCGGGAATTTAGTCCTCTTTCGTCTTAAAAGTGTGAGACTCTAGCCTGTCAAAAAGTTCTTGGCTCCTAACGGATCACGTCTTAAGGTGGTTGCATGGTGTGCAGCTTAGGTTCCATGCCACCCAGGCCCACGCTGCCTTAGGCCCAGTAATCCTAGATTTCTCGTCAGGTCTGATTTTTACACCTGCCCCGTCTCAGCGAACTCCTTCACTAAATTGTAGAGTTTGTTGCTTGTGATCCTTCAACTCACTTGAATGGGTGGCCTTCCTCTGACTTCTGTACAGCTTGGATGACAGACTTGTAGACCCTGAAGCTGATGGTGACGGAGAGAAGAGCCAGGATGAGGTAAGAAACCACACTGATGACGCTGAAAGCTGCCAGCGAGAGCAGCACGATCAGCGTGGTGCCGAAGACAAACCCAGTCTTCTTCACATCTCGCCAGAAAATCAGGTCGTGCACTGCCAAAACAGAGGGGACACGCGTTACACAGACCCCCGGGGGCCACAGGCCGGGCTGCCTGAGAAACACGCCCCCGCACGCAATTACAGGTGCCCCCCTTCAGAGAATCAGGTGAGCGGCAACCACACATCAGGGTGATGCTTCACAATGCGAAAGGCTCCTCTGGTCCCTGGATAGGTTTATAAAAACGTACGAACTTATTACTTAGAGGTGGCGACTGAAGTGCAGTGGGGTCAAGTGTCATTTGTTTTGACTCAGCAGAAAGGATGGTAGAGCAAGTGTGGCTAAAATCTTGGTAAGTGTTGACTAAATTAAGCAAACTTTGCCTACAGATCACTTGGGTCAACACACTATAAAACCAAAGCTAAACTGAAATGTATACATTGGGCTGAGGGGCAGAGAGAGTAGTGAATAAAAATAATTCAAGCTCTAGCAGTGTCAGTTACAATGAAACACCAGTCCCCGTTATTCTGGAGAGTACTCAGGAAGGACATGGGCAGGGGACCACATAGGACCACATAATTATCTAAACCATGATACTTTTGAAAGCAAGTGGGGATCCTATTAATAATTGTTAGGAAACAGGTATAAACTGAGACAGTCCCAGGCAAATGGGTCTTATGGTTGGGGACATAGAAGGTGGAAAAACCGAAGTTCTTCTACCTGAAGAGGCCTCAAAAACCCTGTGAATAAATTGCTAGCAATTACCTCCAATCTAGGAGTGACACTACATTTGAATTTCAATCTGTAAAGGCTAATTTCAACATTAATAGCTTTACTACTGCAAGTTTTTCCTGTACTCCTCTTTGCTTATATTGGAAAAGAGCAAGGGCTTTGGAGTTGGAGAAACATGAGTTTGAGTCCTGGTAATTTTATTACATTGATTAACCTTTCTAAACCTTTGTTTTCCCATCTATAAAATGAAGACAGTGACATCTATTTCCTAGAGTTGTTTTAAGAAAATGTAAGGCTAATGCAAGTCGAAAGCTTAGCATTGTAGGTGACACAATGAGTAACCCCTCAAATTTGAATTATAATAAAAATGTGGTTAGCTTGGAAGACTGTGATTGAGGGTAAAATGAACTTGAATCTGATTCCAGTCGATCCACTGGCACCTAGTTCCTCCCCATATTCAGCCTCAACACTTCTCTGAAGCCTAACCTTACTAGAGCCAAGGAAACCTAACTTGACACTAAAAAAACACTAAAGATCTACTTATTGTATAGAACAGATAATCACTGGTTCCAAGAGTCCAGCCAGGGGATGTGACTCCTGGGAGAGAGAAGAGGTGTTCGGATCACCGAGGGGAGGCCAAGGGTTCCAGACAGCGATGTTGCAAAGGAAAGCGAGAACTGGGAGGTAGCTCAGGCGCACCCGAGTGAACAGAATGCTGTCTACTTTCGAGAGCAATTCCTGTACCCCGGGTCCAAGTATATGTATGTCACCGTTCATATAACTACATGGACGGCTTCAACACAGAATGCTTAGTAATGGAACAAACCGGTACCACGTGCCTCCTATGTAACACACTGAGAAAGACACAAGATCACTTCTATGGTATTCTTGCCGGAAACATAACCTGAATCTAATGAGAAGACGCCAGACAAATGCAGACTGAGAAACAGTCTACAAAACAACTGGCCTGTATTCTTCAAAAATATCAATGGTGTGAGAGACAGGAAACTTAACACGTATATGCCAAGTGTGATCACAGACTGGACGCTGGATATGGGGATAAAAACAGCTATAAGGAACATCATGGGGACAGCTGACAAAATTTGAATGTGGACTATATAATTGATAAAAGTACGTATCAGCATTGTTTCCTAAATCTGATAAAAACTTAAGTATACTATAAAACAACAAAAAAGTTCTTGTTCGAAAGAAACATTCCAAAGTATTTAGGGATACAGGGGCAGGAAGTTTGCAAGCAGCTCTTAAATGGTTCAGGAAAAAGCATGTATCTATCACCTATGCCCTGGCTGATGTGGCTCGGTTGGCTGGAGTGTCATCCCATAAACCCAAAGGTCATGGGTTCAATTCCTGGTTAGAGCACATGCCTTGGTTGTGGGTCTGGTACCCGGCTGGGGCATGTTTGAGAGGCAACCGATCTGTTTTTCTCTCACATCGATGCTTCTTTCCCTACTTTCCCCTCTCTAAGCATGTCCTTGGATGAGGATTTAAAACAAACAAATGAACACACAAACAAACATGTATCTATAGAGAGAGGGAGGGAGTGATGAAGCAAAAGTGACCAAATGTTAACAGTTGGTGTATTAGAACAAGGGTTATATGGGAATTTTTTGGTATATGCTTGTTATTCTCTACGTTTGAAATATTTGAAAGAAAGAATGAGAAAAAGAAAGAAGCGCTTAGAGGATAAGCCTGGGGTCCAGAGTAAAAGATCATGATGTATCAGTGAAGGGAAAAGGGATAAAGACACTACATGCAAATCTACCTTTGTGCAAATCAGAAAAAACACCCTGTCCTCACGAACTTTTACTGCCATCTGCTGGAAAATTGTCATAAATACTCAAGCCCTGGCTGGCATGGCTCAGTGGATTGAGCGCATGCCTGCAAACTGAAAGGTAGTTGGTTCAATTCCCAGTCAGGGCACATGCCTGGGTTGCGGGCCAGGTCCCCAACTGCGGGTGTGCAAGAAGCAGCCGATGGAAGTTTCTCTCCCTCTCTTCCCCTTTCTCTCTAAAAAAATAAATAATTATAAATCTTTAAAGGGCGTGCTTTTACAAAGCCATTTCAAGAAAAACAAAATACTTAAAAAAAAGAACACACAAATCTACAAAGCTAACCCATGTGAATGCTGTCCCCCTGGGACATGCAGTATGCACCTTGCATAACAGGGCAGAAGGTCACTTGGAGGGTATATACGCAGTGAGTGAAGGGGAGAGCGGCATGCGACGAGGCTGCAGCTGAGGGAAAGGCTGGATCACGGAGCACTTTCATAGAGCAAGGTAAGGGGCTTGGATTTTGCCTCAGGGGAAATGTGAAGTCACTAAGGGATGTCATGCAGGGGAATAACATGGTATGTCCTAACACGAGGAACCCTTTTACTGCTCTACAGAGAAAATGGATTGGGATGGGGCATCAGTGCAGCAAAGAGGCTCCCTAGGGGTTAACATGGAGGTTCAAGTGAGACATCATGGTCATTTAAATCTAGATGGGGAGGTCAGGATGGAGGCGAGTGGATAGATTTGAGGTAGAACAGGCAGAACCTGGTGATGAACTAGATGTGGAAGGTGACAAAATATAAATGACACCAAGTTTGGGGCCTGAGTAAATGGATGAATGTGGTGTCATTTACAGAGATGAAAGGAGCAGAGTATGGAGGATGCTAATTTTGGGATGGATGTCTAGAGAGATCCATTATTAAAGAGGTGGTTAGATCCACCAGTGTGGAGTGCACAGGGCAAGTCTGAGCTGGAGACACACACACATGGGGAAGTCACCAGCACACCAATAATGTTTAAAAGTCATCGAAATGGATGAGGTTCCCTAGTACTGATACGGAAGATGGCCCACGTTTTGATTCTGAGACACTCCAACATTCAGCAGTTAAGTCAAGAGGGGCTGCCGACAGGAAACAGAGGAAAGACTGGGCGTGCGGGGGAGCTACCTAGGAGAGCGTGGCGTCACAGAGGCTGAGAGCGGAGCGCTTTGAGAAGGAGGCTGTGCAGACTGGCTGTGTCTGCTGTGGCTGAACAAGGAAAACGGTGACCCTGATTTTGGCAACATGGAGACAGCTGATGATCTGATCAAAGCGGTTCAGTGGAGTAATGGAAATATGAGTGATTAGAGGGGCGTGAAGAGGAATTAGAGATGACGCATTGAGGCAATGTTAGAGAAAATGCCTAAGAAGTGTGGCTGTAAAGGACAGTAGAGACATTTGGAACAAGGGATGGTTTTTTAAAGATGGAAAATTAGCTAAAGCATATTTATATGCAGAAACAAACAGGAAGAAAAATGGGGGCAGAAGCAGTGAAGTCCAGAACGGAGGGATGAAGATCCGAAGCCCAGGCGAAAGGCTGACCCTCGTAACACAGTGATGAGGATGAAGAGATAGAGGCCCATTCAGAGACCTGAAGTTTGGAAGAAGAGGGATTTCTTTTTGAAAGCTTCTATTTTCTCAACAAAAACGAGCTGAGGTCATTAGCTAGGGTGGGGGCAGGGGGGCAAAGAAGGTTTACAGGGAGTGAAAAAGATAAAAAATGGTTATTTCAGAAAATAAAGTATCTTAAAATTCTTAAAAGAAAACACAATATATCTTTGTGATCTTAGGCAGCAATGGTTTCTCAGATGACACCAAAAGCACAAGTGACTAAATAAATAAATAAATAAAAATAAACTGGACTATATCAAAATTAAAATCCTGTTGTAAACGGTACCAAGAAAGTGACAAGAAAATGAAGAAAATAACATGCATTTGCAAATTATTTATCTGGTAAAGTATCTGCACCCAGATATACAAAGAATTATAACTCCATAAAAAAAATTAGCCCAAACAAAAAATGAACCAAGGATCTAAACACACATTTCTCCAAAGATATACAAATGGCCAATAAGCACATTAAAAGCTGCTTAACATCATTAATTATTAAGCAAATCAAAACTACAATGAACCCACTAGGATAGCTAAAATAAAGAATACAGTAACAGCCCTGGCTGGTGTGGCTCAATGGACTGAGTGCTGGCTTGCGAACCAAAGGGTCACTGGTTTAATTTCCAGTCAAGGCACATACTTGGGTTGCAGGCCAGGTTACATCCCCGGTGGGGGGAGTGAGGCGCAACCACACATTGATATTTCTCTCCCTCTCTTTCTCCTTTCTTTAAAAAAAAAACACAAAAAAACAATAACAAATATATGTAAGAATGTGGAGAAACTGGAACCTATGTTCCTAATAGGAATGAAAAATGGTGTAGCCACCCTGAAAAACAGTTTGACAGCTCCTCGAAAAGTTAAACATAGCCATTATATGACCCA